ACCTCTGAGCTCAGTAAAGTTCATGTGGAACTCACTTGAGTCTCTGATCTCTTTACTGGAGCTGGTGTCACTCAATGTACAAAGCACATTATTCTTGTCAGTATGTCGAGGTGAGACAGTTTGTCCATTGTCTCATGAGGAAAGTAAAACGTTACACATCCACAGCACAAACAGCAAAGTCTGTGTTTAACTTTTAAAAAGACATCAGACTTATGTCAAACTGCGGAGAATTAGGTTGATTTGGTGAAAACAGGAATTATATGACACTTGTTTTTACGTATAAGGCAACTCTTATTATTATTATTCAAAAAGAGGAAACAATATGTGTTAAAATTATGCTTTGTTTTATTTAGCAGTAATAATGATTATTTCTGGTCTAATTTACTTTTCATACCAATATTGCAACAACTAATAAAATAAATAATAATGTGATAACATTTGCACACTGTACCTGTCTGCACTGATCTCCACGGTGACCTGCTCAAATGGCTCTAGAACAGTGCATGCCTCCTGCAGTACCTCCCATTCCTCTTGGCTCCGAGGATCAACACGTGCATTGATAACAGCCAGGGTAGAGATGACTGCATCCTTGGATTCCAGAATCCGTTTTAGCATGTGGAAGGTGGAGTTCCACCTTGTAACACATTCTTGTTTGAGCTTCAGCTCCGACATGCCCATCTTTTGTTGGGTAGATTTGAGCTCTTCTGTGGCTGTTGAGCTCCTGTGGAAGAATTCCACTATCATCTTCACTTTGTCAACAATGGGCTTCATAACCTTCAGAGCTTCTTTAACAATCAGGTTAATTGTGTGTGCAAGACATGGGTGGTGGGTCCATTTCAGGGTCTTAATAGCTTTGGTTATGTTAGCTGCATTGTCACTAACGCAGCAAACCACTTTGTTTTCCACATCCCACTCTTTTTGCCACTTTGAGCAGCTCCTCTGCTAAGTTCTCAGAAGTGTGTCTGCCACTGAACTCAAAACAATCCAGAGGACGGGACACTATCTTGTAGGTTTCGACAAAATGGCGAGTAACTGACAAGTAGGATGTGGTGGTTCGAGATGTCCAACTGTCAGTTGTTGGAAAAACTGTTGTGGCTTTTTTAAGCCTCTCTTGCAATGAAGCACGCTCTGTGTCATATAGGCCTGGGATGATTTTTTGAGAGAGTGTTTTCCTGCTTGGAATTACAGACATTGGATTAAGTGCACGAGTAAATCTTCTGAATCCTTTATCATCCACGATTGAAAATGGTTGGAAATCACGTGCGACCATTTTTGCCAGTTCTTCATGCATAGCGATCTGTCTTGCTGGGGTCAGAGACGTTTGTAAAAAGTGGCTCAGAGAGCTCTGGGTTGAAGGTTTAGGTCGGCCCAGTTGTGGTGGTGGTGTTCTGGATGATGTAGACCGTGCAGCAGCAGCAGCAGCAGCAGCAGCAGCAGCAGCAACAGTTGCAGTAGACACACTGGCACCTTCATTAACAGCAGGTTCACTTGCTTGTCTTTTGTCTTCAGTTTGCACTGAGGGATGAACAGCTCTCATATGAGCTGTGCAGGTTGTTCGTGGAGCCTGCTCTATATGAAACTTGAATCTTGCAGACTCTACACTCTGTGTTGTTGATGTTATTTAAAATGAATCCAAATCTTGCTGCGTTTCCTGTTGTCACCACATACAAGTCTTATCACTCAGCATCATGTCTCTGTTCGAGCCTCCTCTCTGAAGTGACCGACACATCATCTGTCAGTTGATCTTTATTCAGATCACAGTGAGAGGAGCTCGTAGCTTTAAGATCTGTTCTCCAGTAACAGACACAGAGGAGCTGAAGCTGGAAACGTTCACTGATTCTGATTTCACAGATCAACGAGTCAAAAGAGAAACGTTGTTAAAACACAAACTGCTCTTGTGGTGAACAACGAGACACAAGTCAGGAGGAGGTTTGTTTCAAAAAGTTCAGTGAGGAGGAGGAGGAGGAGGAGGAGGAAGAGGAGCAGCGTTTGTGTTTCAACAACGTTTCTATTGTGACTCGTTGATCCAGGAAATCAGAATCTGTGAACATGTTTCAACTGTGAGGAGGAGGAGGAGGAGGGGGAGGGGGAGAAGTGGCGCGAGACCTCCGCGAGCGGAGGCGCGAAGTTTAAAAGTTTTAGTTTCACTTCCTGGTTGATGCTGTCGCAGGCTCCTCAGTGAACGTAAATTAGTTCAGTGTGAACCTCTCTCTCTGTCTCATTCAGTCAAACCAGGAGTTTCCTCCGTGTCTCTCCTTCCTTGGATCCTCCTTCAACTCTCAGGTGAACTTAAAGCAGGATGTCTGAGTTCTGGTCTCTGCTCCTTGTGTTGATCCTCAACATGTGGACTCTCACCACAGCAGGTACGTGAAGTCTGATCTTATTCACAAATGACGGATTCTGTTTCAACGTAGTTCTTCACTTTACTGTTTTAGACTCATTTGATTCATTGTTGACAATGGTTTGTTTTTTAATATACTATTGAACCTGCACTGCCCTGGAGAAACCATATTTCACTCTCCACTGCATAGTTGTACTGTTTGGTTAGAAATGACGTCACGATCACAAAACTATAGAAGAAAAAAGACTCACAACAAACAACAGGTAGCTAATAGATAGCTAATCATGTAGCTTATGAACTCAAACATTTATTATGATCATCAGCTTTATCCAGTTAGTTTTCATAACTAACTAATAGTGTAACGTTTATCTATTTAAAATGGACTAGTTTTAAAAAACTAAACGTGTCCTGGTTCAAGCCTCATTCTTCATGTCCTTATTATACTATTACCTTTTAGTGCAGGTGAATGAAACTCAGACACATTTAATGAGGAAGAGAGAGAGGGGGGGTGAGTGAGTGTGTTCAAGATGAATTCACAGCGAGGACACGAGTCATGGTTTACTTTCAGTTTCTGACTGAAACAGGAAGGGAGTAGTTTTTGTCAAAGCAGCTCTGATTCACCTCCTGTATGTTAACTGTCAACAGACAGACAGATATTTCCATCAGGATATTTACATTCACAATCCGTCTGAGAGCAAATGCACTRATTGCACTTTTAAAAAAAGYTTCTATTCACCACAGTTGATCCTGAACTGGTTGTTTTTTTACCCGGTGTCTCACAGATGATGACATCTCCTGCGTTTTAGCAGAGATCTGCATCTTACCCTGCAGTTTTCAGCCTGGTACAGACCCAGTCGTCCACTGGATGAAGGTAGAAGCAGGASACAYYYRTGTCCACTCCTACTACAMAGCYGGAGACCAGTTWGCACACCAGAGCGAGCGCTTCAGAGGCCGGACATCTCTGTTCAAAGAGCAGATCTCCAGAGGAAACGCGTCGCTCAGGATGACGGGGCTGCAGCTTCAGGACCAGGGCAGATACAAGTGCTTCACCAGCACCTTCAGTGGAGCCAAGGAGTCATTCATCAACCTACACGTTTATGGTAAAACAAAGACAAATAAACAAAACACAAGCAAACTCATGAAACATTAATATCCAACATCAACAGATATTTAGCTTTTGTCATAAATACTTTACACCTGGAATTATAATGAGACCTGAGTTAACACCATCAACATGAATCTACACAAGCTCGAGCTGAGGGAGTGGAAACTTCACTCAAGTTGTTGTCTTGCAGCTCCAGTGCGTAACGTGGACATTGAGCAGGTGAAGAACAATATCACCTGCCGCTCAGAGGGGATCTCCCCCGAACCAAAGCTCTGCTGGTCCACCAGCCCTCCGTCCACCTTCCAGTACGTCACTGAAGTCCAGGGGGCTGAGCTGCAGCTCCACAACATCAGCAGCACGCTGACACTCTCACACAGCAACGATGAATTCACTTTCACCTTCACCTGCACCGTCAGCAGTGGCACATCCACCAGGAGAGCCACTTTGTTTAAAGAAGGTAAGAACTGCTCCACAGTTACTAAGTACTTTTACTCAGTTACTGCACCAACGGTCAGTCATCCCTCAGAGAGGGTTAGGATTGAATCAGGGAACAGGCGACACCTCGCTGTGATTTACAAACTAAACATGTACTTGTTTAATACTTGTGTGATTTTCTTCTGTGTTTCATTTCTATAGTTTCAGCTTCTATGGATGAGTTTGACGTTGAAACAACAATCCACTGTGCCGCCTTCAACTCTTCCTTCTCCGCCCTCGTGTGGAAATTCAACCACAGTCACATCATCGTGACTCGGGCTGCAGCTGACGGCTCCCCCGAGGTCTCAGAGGAGTGGAGGTCGCAGGTGAAGAGCGTGTCAAGGTCCGGCAGCCTCACGCTAAAGACGCCAACTGCAGATCGAGAGGGAGTTTACACCTGTGAACTCAGTGTCGCAGAGGAAACTCTCGTAACCAACACTGTTCTCAAGATAAACAAAGGTAGCATCAAGTTCTAGAACGTTTAGTCTTTAGCCGGTTCCAGACTTGAGCTCTGGAGGGTCTGGACTTTCTCTGGAGCTTCTCACATAAGCTCCTCCTCAGAAACGGAGTTCTCCAGAGTCACATGTCTGGAAGCAGCTTCAGTCAAACATCCAAACACCAGAAACCTCCCCCGGAGGAGGGACAGTTCAACTAACGGACTTTTCTTTATTTCAGGGGCTTCACTCAGTAATGGAGGAATTGCTGCGATAACCATTGGTATCATAGTTTTACCCGAGTTGCTGTCATAGTTGTTTTCCTGTGTCTTTGGAGAAAAGGTAAAATAACATTCTGTCGATGTGTTTTCATTCTTTCTTGTATATTTGTATGATATTGATTCGTGTGTCTCTGTCTCAGGTCAATGCAGAAACAACAGAAGCAGCGACGGGTCAGTAAAGTTTACACCTGTTTAAATACTCACATCTCATTCCAGCTTCTTTTTCTAGAGCAAACTGTCAACCCACCCTGACAACACTGTTGTTGGTTAGTTTGACGTTTTGTCCGGCGCCATCTTTAAAAAAACAAGTTGCCATATTTGGAGGAGTGAGGGGCGGAGCCTGGATGAAGCCCCTCCTCCACTGAGCTGTCAATCAACCCAAACTCATCAGAAACTCAAAGATACGAATGAGTTTTATCCCTGAATCTTACACACACGTGATGTGATGGTTGATTCGGTTTTCATTCTTCCTTTACGTGTATTTAATGTTGAATTTCCTTTTATTTTTACAGCGGAGCAGAGGAAACTGTCCAGATGAATCGTGTGCAAACCAACACGGACTCTTGAGGATGTTCCCTCTGTGGTTCAAAGCTGTAGAATAATCCTCATGATGTTTTCACTCGTTCATCTCATCTAAATTGAATGAATTGTACTTTTCTTTACCCCAGAAAAGGCCCTTTATATTTAAATACTTAATATTGAAGTACTTTATATTGAAATACTTTATATTGAAATACTTCATATTTAAATACTTCATATTTAAATACTTTATATTGAAGTACTTTATATTTAAATACTTCATATTTAAATCTTTATATTTAAATACTTTATATTTAAATACTTTAAATTTACATGGAGGGGACCCTCTCTTCGGAGGCCGCCATGTTTTTTACATTTGTCCAGACTGAATAAACTAAAAACCATTTGAGTTTTTATGAAAACTGAAGCTGCCACAGGTTCTTCTTCATGTTTGGAATTTCACTACACTTGAAATTATTTTGTGAGAACATGAAGTAAACGATCTGCCTCAATGTGTTTCCATAAAAACTGTATGTGTGTAAATAAAAGAGTTGTGTTGAATCGAACTGCCTGAGGCGTCTGCTGTGTCAAACCTGAATTACTCGTCTGTGGGCGTGTTGACGGGAACGAAGCTGCTCAGCTGCTTCAGGAGGAAATAAATAATTTTCTGTCAGACAGACGTGTGAAGTGGAGGCTTCATTTCTCCGTCACTGTTGCCGATGGCTGCGTTCAAGGTTTGTCTGCTCTGTTCCCTCCTGTGGATCGTCGCTGCAGAAGAAAGAAAAGGTGAGCACTCTGGAATATTGACTCTATTTATCTAGGATTTGTTCCTGGAGACGAAATGAAGCTCACACTTCTTTTTAATTAATTATACAATGTAAAGTATTTCACTGTGTATGTTTCTTCTATTGTACTTTTACTCAAATGTATGTATTTGAGTTAGTAGATACAACTTGAAAAAGTACAGCAGGGCTGTTGTGGACCGAGTGGATGAGGAAAGTCTCTTGAACGTGTCGTCTGTGTCTCCAGAGGTCACGATCACATGTCGGCCTTCGGAGGAATGCGTGCTCCCCTGTCAGTTCGAGTCCGACGGCAAAGGTGCGAGGATCATGTGGTACAGGAAGAAAGCCGTGGTGAGCTGCACGCGCTACGGCAACACCAGTTTTGCGATTGACCACAAATCGCCGGCCGATAAATACAAGGGAAGAACGGGGCTGTTTGCAGACCAGGTCCTGGAGGGAAACGCCACACTGCTGCTGAGAAACGTCACGCCGTACGACCAGGGCAAATACTACTGCATCACCATGACCGCCCCCCGCATCGACAAATCCAGCATCATCTCCCTCGTCGTTGAAGGTACCGGCTGGTTTACAGAATCACTGGACTGTGTTTACATTTCGTTTCTTGTAAATTTGATTGAATTTTCAGTTTTTGCAGTTTTAAAGGTTCAACTATTCAGCTTTTGACCACTAGCAGCGCTGTTGAGCTCGGCTGTGAAACAGAAATCTGAAAATAATCGACCCAAAAAAATAAAGAGTTACTGGTCTTCAGTCCTTTTGATTAGAACTCATTATGGGATTATTTCTATTATTTAGTTCATTAAAAGTTTAAGAGTTTAAACAAAAGTCGTCATCAGCTCAGCTTACTTGAATTTTTACCGTTCGTAGCTCCGGTCCGAGAGGTCGACATCTGGTTCAGTGGCGACTCCGTCATCTGTGCGGCTGAGGGAATCTACCCGGCTCCGACAGTCGCCTGGTCCACCGATCCTCCCACTGATGCTAAACTGAACAAGACAGAGATCCAGGAAAACAAACTCGGGTTCTACGACATCCAGAGCGACCTGAGGCTGAAGGGAAACCTCACCTCAGATCTTACGTACATTTGTTGTGTAACCTGCGGCACCAACAGAAAAACTGCTTTTCTGAAACACGAAGGTAACCGAGTTTAGAACCTTTTGTTTTTTTATTACTGTTAAACGTGAAGAAAACGTATATCTTCTTACTCTTCGCTGTAGCCTCAGTCGCGGCCCCTGTAGGTGGCGTAGTGCAGATTTCCTGCAGTTTGCCTCGCAGCATCCAGCAGAGCTTTAATCTCACCTGGAGGTTCAGACTCTCGGGTCCCGTTGCATCGATCAGCGTCGTGGGACAGAAGCTGCAGGTGAAAGTCTGGGATCCGTGGAAGTCTCATGTCCTGTCCAACTTTTCTGCTTCGAACGGTCTGCACCTGCACAACCTGAAGTCCGAGCACCAGGGAAACTACACCTGTGAGATCCGCACACCTGAAGAAACACACGTCACCTGGACTGACGTCACCGTAACTGAAGGTAATGACACGTGAGAATATTGGTGAGCGTGTGACCTTCTACAAGCTGGGCAGTGTGGAGCGCCCTCTGGTGGTGGTTCTGCTTTTGGTTCGAAGTATCCTGAACGGAACAGTTTCAAGAACCACAGATAGTTTAGGGGAAAAAAACAGTTGCGAGTGTGAGAAATTGAGTCTCCAGCCGGCGAGCGGACGTAGTCACAGTCGTACATTCAGACCTGACGATGGCGCTAGTTCCAACGTTAAGGATTTCACAAAATCCTAATGATTCATCCAGTGACAACAAAGAATATTTGTATGATTGAATCATCGTCATCTGTTCTTCTAATTTCAGAATCGTATCATTACTTTTACATCTCCATCATCGCTGGACTGCTTTATTTCCTATTTCTGTCGTACGTGGCTTCAGCGATTCTCGCATACATCAGTGAGTTATTCAACCAACGAGCTCTAAGTTTCAAACTTTTCATGCAATAATGTTTTGGGTTAATTCGCTTTCTCATCCTAAAACGTTTTCTGAACTTTTATTCTTTTATAGTCATTAAATTGAAGCGAGCCAGAAATCGACCGGACGACAGAGACGAAGCCAGCGAGAGTTTGAACGGGCAATGAAGTGAACTGTTGTTCGGCTGCCGACTCAAAAACAAGTAATGGATGAATTTTAACAAAACTTCAACCGGACTCTGGACAATAAGGTCGGGAGGATAATCTTCATTAATTATACTGTGATGGTAGAATCTGTGTTTTTATATCTCCGGATAAAAACTATGAAGAACTGTGGAAGAATTTTATGTTTTAATATTTTAAGTATAATCATGAACTGTAAAAATATGATCATGTATATACGATGATTTTATTTTGCCTTTTGGTGTTTATCCCTGACTAATCCAGTCAAATTTATCAAACTTAAAGGTTCAGTGTGCGGACTCTAGTGACATCTAGTGGTGGAGTGTCATGTTGCAGCAGGTGTCGGCCGACTGGTCATTCTTATCACCATCATGATAAATATCAAATACTGTGTCACATTCAACAGTTTGGACTGAAACACCGGGAACACTTCGGCTTCACTCTTCGGCAGCTGTCCATCTTTATTTACTGTCTGTGATCAAACCTCTGTCCTGAAACCGAACTGTACAAACTGACAACACATAAACATCCAACGAACTTTTTATCAGCATGTTGTTCGACAGTATTTGTCACTTCATTAGTTTAATGAGGAGGAATCTACACGACGACACTGATACCTGCTTACAATCATATTCTAAATGTTTCTATGCTGCTTATAAATGGAGACTTTCAAGTGTTAACATCATGATAATAAAACACACACAACAAAAATAAAATTAAAGATGTCGGCTGACTTTAAATGTTTATTCAAACCACACAAATCAAATTAAAACACTAGTGTAATTATTCTGTTGTCTACTTTTAATTTTAAAAAACACAACTATGCACCTGGACCCACAAATAATAAAGAGGCAACAAATTCTAGACTCACATGGCAGTGAGTGTGTGTGTGTGTGTGTGTGTGTGTGTGTGTGTGTGTGTGTGTGTGTGTGTGTGTGTGTTACAGCAGCCGTGGGTTCTCCTCTCTGTAGTCGTGTGTGTCTCCTTTAAAGGGGAGGTGTGGGGGGTGGTTGCAGATTCCCATCAGGAAGATGATGATGGTGCCGAGCGTCATCACCGGAGTCACCAGGAAGAGGCAGAGTCGATCCACCGTGCGAGCGATGCCGCTCCAGTTGTCTTTCTCCTGAGAACACACGGTTACAAACACACAGTGTGTGGTTGTGACAGAGTTTTATGGTTTCACCGTCGACTTTGTTTTATTCTAACTCAACGTCTTCTTCTAGTTCATCTCATGTTTGTGTTGGAACAGAGTTTCAGGGTCGAGTGAGGAGGTCGAACTCTTCCCCACAATTCACCATCGACAGACTCCTGCTTCTCCTCTCTGTCTGTCTCTGTGTGTGTGTGTGTGTGTGTGTGTGTGTGTGTGTGTGTCTGTGTGTTTCACCTCGTTGTAGTCGTTCTTGTTGCGCATGTGTTTGATGATGTAGTTTGCTCCGTCCACGGCCGGCTTGATCTCTGCGTACAGCTGCTCTGTCATACCTCCGTCTTGCTGTGGACTCACCACTGCAAGCATGCACACACACAGACACACAGACACACACACAGACACACACAGACACACACAGACACACACCCTTGATGAAGGAGGTCAGACACATTGAGGGACTGATATCTACGAGTGTGTGTGAGGAGGAGCAGCTTGATTTTTCGTTATGAATTATTGATGTGCAGGGAAATTGTCTTTGGCTGCAAAATGATAAAACAGTGAAAATAAAAACAATCGGTTTGATAAAACCGACTCTGAAGATCATGAAGTGTAGCAGAGCCCCGTGACCAATGACGAAACATATGTTTGAATACTGTGACTCGATGATGTCACTGGACGTACCTGCAGCATGTGTGGTCCGTGTGGTCAGTCCGTGTCTCACTGACTGTTTCTCGAACATCAGCTCGCTGCGGGACTTGAAGCTGTAGTACTCCTCCGCCGCGGCGATGTACCCCACCGAGCTGGATCGCCGGGGCAGCGCTCGATCCCAGTGTGGCTCCTCATCCGCAGGGTGGGACATACGCAGGATCCGGGGCAGGCGCTCCAGGAAGAACTGGACGAAGAAGAGGGGCAATCGAAAAACTGCAGATGATACCGAAGCAGGTCTGAAACGTGATGCTTAAAAAAAAAAAAAACTCAAGACGCTTGAGTCTTCGAGCTGCAGCAGGAGAAGATCAGTTGTCTTTTTAAATGCAGACTGTGTGTGTGTGTGTGTGTGTGTGTGTGTGTGTGTGCGGTACCTTCTTGGTCCACTCAGACATGACGTGCGTGCTCGGTGTCCTGAAGTGCAGGTTGAGGACGACCACACAGTTCAGCACCACCACTGTAACCAGCACCATGATGAACATCAAGTATCTGAGACACACACACACGAGTTCAAATGAATAAAGACGATTCAACTGAAAATTCAATATTTCATCCGTGTGTGTGTGTGTGAGTGAGAGTGTGTGTGAGAGTGTGTGAGTGAGAGTGTGTGTGAGAGTTACCTACTTGACAATAAGTGGAACAGACATGGAAGTCTCCGGGAGTCTTTGAGAAATCAGCAGCAAAAACACAGACTGAGCCAAGAGCACAGAGATGGACAAGGTCATCTTCTCACCACCTACACACACACACACACACACACACACACACACACACACACACAATAGTCTTCCTCAGTATTCATCTTCTGTTTCCTTTAATCGGAGGTATGGGGGGGGGGGGCACTGACTGTCAGCGGGCAGGTAGTAGACGAGCGAGGCCAGGAAGGAGATGAGCACGCAGGGGATGATGATGTTGACGATGTAGAAGAGCGGTTTGCGTTTGATGACCAGGTAGAAGGTGATGTCCTGGTGCTTGTTGCTCTCCATGGGAATGTGTTTGTACGTGTTCCTCTTGGCCGGTCGGTGGATGATCTCCCACTCGCCGTTTTCTGCCAAAACCAGTGAAACAGAGAAACCCAGAATGAGGTTTGGGTGTTAAGGATTAACTCCACTAACTCGGCCCGGCGCCCCCTGCAGGATTACCGAGACAACTCATTTGATTCGATGTGTGTGTCACCTGTGAAGCTGGCCGGGTCGATGATGATCCACTCCACCGTCCACTTCCTGGTTTCGTCGGCATCTTCCTTCAGCAGCATCCTGATCTCTTTGGCGTTGTAGGTCAGAGAACTGCAAAGCAACATGGGAAACGGTGTGTTCAGTTTCCGGTTTATAAACATGACTGATCCGTGTTTCCCTCTGAGGTGAGGATGACGAATGAAGTCTAGATTGACACCGAGCGGTTTCTGTCTCACGTGAACTTGAGCGTGCAGTTCTGCCAGTCGAAGGGGAAGTAGTTGACGTTGATGGAGCAGGAGGAGCGGAAGATGGCGGGAGGCAGCCAGTAGCAGAGCCCAGTGAGATCGACGAGCACGTTACTGTAGTAGGCCACCTGGAACTGGGCATCGTTACTGAGGAGAGGCAGAGGTTTGATCTGAATCAGCCACACACACACGAGGAGGATCTCACTATAGATTCAGAGACTACACCTGAGATATGTTTACACGTGTGTGTGTGTGTGTGATACACATGTTGTATTTTGTCTCCGCACACACACGGACGAACAAAGAAAACTGAACCTCACTTGTTCTCCAGCACAATCTCCGGCAGCCACACCATGCTGGACGGCAGGCGAAGCATCTCGATGCCATCGAACTCTGTTGAGTTCCACGACAGCCGGTAGTCGGTCCACATCTAACACATGCCACAAGGCAGAAACACAAAATACACAAACACCACAACATGTGAGGATCTTTTAAACGTGGTGTGTTTATTTAGAGGATCTACACAAACAAACATTTTCCTTTTACGTACATGATCGATCCATACGTTTGTCAGCAGGGTCTCGTCTACTTCTTTCTGCAGAGGAAAGACACGAGACTTTGGTTTTATCTTTACATCATCATATCAATAAATTGTGGATCTAGTGAATTGAAATGTTACACAAGGAGACCGTCGGGCCTCGGTGGGGGGACGAACTCTGCTTCGAGAAATTCTAATCCGTTAAATATAATGAGGTAAAACAAGCTCACACTAAGAATGAAAGTGTTTCTGTAGAAAAAACTTCATTTCACTAAAACAGTTAAGAGACACACACACACTTTAAAATACACTTCCTGGTACCAGAGAGATGAGGTTGGAGAGCGTGAGGGCGAGGTAAACGTCGACGGCGTCCTGCTGCCTCTCTGTGGGACGCAGCTCTTTGTTGTATCCTCGCTCTTTAAACAGGTAGTTGATCAGACGCTCCTCCTCGTTCCTGCCCCAGCACTCTGACACACACACACACACACACACACACACACAGTTTACATCAAAAGGAAATAAGGATTTCTGTTCTCGTGCAGGGAAGCAGCAAGAACACAATTCACTACATTAACGTACAGTACACGGCAAATACAAGAGAAAGTACAAAGAAAATATTCCTCCACAAGCAGTGTGTGTGCACGTGTGTGTGTGTGTGTGCACGTGTGTGTGTGTGCACGTGTGTGTGTGTGAATGCCTACATGCTGCTCAAATGTCAGTCCACTGTGGCAGCTGCTGTGACACCAGTTCCCTTCTACAGAGCTCAGACTGAAGCTGGCAGACATTTCTCATCTCCACACGTCCACACAGTCATGTTTGTTTATCAGTTGTTTATCAGTTTGTTTGTCATTGTGGATATTTAGATTTCCTCTTTGTGAAATTGAAGCCGTCGTGTTGGAGCTCTGGAGGAGGTTCCTCTCAGCTGTTTGGATTTAAGTTAAATCTCATTTCTGACACTTGATTCTTTATCTAAAGTTGTAATGAACGGCTGAAACAAACTGATTTTCATTTCCTTCTGTTTTCACGATCAAGGAGTTAATTAGAAATAAATAAATAAATAAAGCAGTCAAAGTCAAAAAAGTTCCAACAGCCCAGGTCAACGTATTCAAACAGCTTCTGCAAATATTTGCATTAAAGAAGCTTCATCCAGTTGATTTTCTGTGATTTTCCTTTAAACTACTTAAATTGTCTGATTGATTTTCAGGATTGTTGACAAACAGATTCATCTGTCGATTGACAGTTTGTGCAACTTCGACGTGAAGAGCTGACACAACTTCTCAGTGCAGGGGTCCACACGAACGAGTGTTTACAGATGACACCAACACTTCCGCTGCTTTAGTCATAAAAATGTTTTTATCACCGACTCCAACTTTGGCTTCACATCAAAAAGTGACATCCGGTGAGAATTTAAAGAAACGATAACTCACCAGATGAGAGCAGTGTGAGGAGGAACACGGTGCCGAGGGCTGCACGCTGAAGCTTCATGTCTGACTGAAGGGTCCCCAACGACCTTCTGCCGAGAGACGGACCGACTGAGTGACAGGAGGCAGCTGCAGAAACACAGGAGGAGAAAATAGAAAAGAGATCGAGCAGCCGGCTGCTGTCACCTCCACACTGTACAGGAAACAGAGTGTGTGTGTGTGTGTGAGGACGACAGAAATATCACACAAATGGTATCGAGTCAATGAATTCTGTGATAAGTACTTTGAAATAATGTCATTATCAATAAATCTTTTAATTTGTGCCTAAAATGATGAGTCACAGAACTTCATGGTGTTTTTTTGTCAATATCAAGTTTCACTTTAAAATAACATCACAAGAATGATGGTATTTTTTTCTATTGTTCTCTATACACACACACACACACACATATATATATATATATACATGTAAAAGTTAATGGACAAGTTGTGTTACAGAGAATTGATTTAAGTTTCAGTTAAAGTAAAAAATACTGAATCCTGTCACTCACCTGAAGGAGAATCTGAAGAAGTGTTT